CCATGAAGTTTGTCCTTACGAAATAAATCTAGAAAAGCTAAGTGAAAAAGAGGCAACCACAACTCAAGCTGGTTATGACATGCTCCTAGTAAGATCAATATAGAAAAGTGAAAATGACCATCATACTAACCTAGCAAAATAAAAAGTAAAAACTTGAAATGGAAAGAAGCAGATTCACAAGTTGATTAACATAGAAGTGGGCAAGCGCATCGACTGGGATACAGGTGAGCAGGACGAACGGATAACGGACGAACGGCAGGTCGAGCCATAAATAAAGAATAGTAAACAGAAGACATACGAGTAGGATTCGAAAAATGATGCGAAGCAGAACAAAGCAAAATTGGCTTAGTAGTATACAAACAAAATTGTTCAAATTGTAGATCAAATTAAGCAAGGGTCATTAAATCTAATTTCTTCTAAGTAATCTGATGAAGTTAAGTGAAAGCTAAGTAGTAAAAATCAAAGGAAAAAGAAAACTATATAAACCAGTTTATAACGTCATTCGAACATTAAGCACGTGAAAACATAGGAACGGTTGAAATACTGATGCCTAACTGAATAGAAGGCTTTCAAATAACAAAATGCATAATACTCTTAATGAAATATGATGCGAGACCTATATAAAATGATTTTATTAGGCTGTTATTAGGGTGACATCTATAGTGGAATTTTCGATGAGACTAAGTCATAGTTGACAAGAAAAGAAATTGGGTTTCGATCAATCTCCTGAGAAAACATTGTTGGAGGGACTGTAATTTCGTATGAAAGTGAATGAAAAAGTGACTCAATAATTAGACTTATTAACCTATCCATGAGTAGCGCATATTTTACCTTCGATCGTAAGTTATACCAACAAATACAAGGATTAGTGATGGGATCTTGCCTGGCGAACATTCTTGGCGAACAATTATGTGGCAAGACTGGAGGAACACCTCCTACAAGAAGAAATACTAACCAAATTGTTGGTTAGATGCATGGATGACTATTTATTCATCTGAACTCATGGTAAGAAAAGTTTATATAGTTTCCTACTTTCACTCAACCAGCGTGAAATGATGATTAGATTCAAAATGGAAATGGAAGAGAACAAGTCCTTACTTTTTCTGGATTTTCTCATTATTAATGAAAATGGTAAGTTAGGAAGAGATGTTTATAGAAAGCCAACATATGTTGGCTCTGCTTAATTTTCTTTCCAACCATACTTACAAGACTAAGGTTAGAATTTTGAAGTCAATGATTTTTAGAAGTATGAGGCTAGCTGATATCAAACATTTGACTAGAGTTGCAACGGCTGACAAATTTATTCCGGAAAAATAATTATCCTTTTGGCCTTATTGAGAATAATATCTCTCTACTAAGGAATAAATTTTCAGACGGAGACCATTTAGTCAAAGAACTGGGGTTAGACCTTTTCACATGTCCTAATTTTGCCGTCGTGCCTTCTATCAAAAAAGATAGGCGAATTAGTAAGAAAGTGGGGGATAAAAACAGTCCTCAAAGCAACGCTCACACTTTCTCCTGTTATGCCATCTTTTAAAAAGAAATATAACCTATTATCGAGATTTTGTGTTGATGAGACAGTACGATCTATTCGACAAAGATTGGGAGAACACAAAAATGGGTCCAACGATCAGAAGTGTCCGAACACTTGGTAGAAACTGGACATGAAATAGAATGGCCTTAAACTAGTAGGTTTGCTGATTATGGTACGCCTGTGGTTAAAATAAAAATAAGAGAGGCTATTGAAATTAATAGCTCAGGAAATAAGTTGAATTTGAGGAACTGTGACAGAAAATTGAGTAGGAACTACTTATGCTTGATTGATAGATTGAAGGAGAATGAGGGTGTTAAGCCGCCATCCAAAAGGCGACTCAACTGGTCTGCTCAGTGATGGTTAGAACTTCATCACACTCGTCCAACATGTTAGATTAGGCTCATTAACCAAGCCAGACGTGCCAGATTACGCAGTCCTAGTCGTTCCTTTCCTCGAGTGGTTAATCGGCAATGTTCCTAGATTGAGAGGTTAGGACAAGTGGCTTCGCAACTTGACTTAAATGCTTACAAGGTTACATCCAATTATCTCAACCATAGTCGCTTACGGACTTATGCAGTCTCTTGGGTCATTAGGCCTTGATGCCCAGAGCCTGATATTAGTCTTTTGATCACTCTAATTTAGGATTGGTATTGCACATAGACGCTAACACACACACATACACACATGCACACACTCGACACAAGTAGCAGGACCAGTATGAAAGATAATTAGCCAAATGAGTCTATATCTATTTAGGTTTTTTTTATTTTGCTTAATTGAGTCTATATAAGAAGTAAGATAGAGCCGGATAGTTTCCTTGCTCTAGGGTGTTAACATGAGACTTTTACATGAATGAGACCCAGTTCTGATGATGTCCATCATATGATGGACGAAAGCTCAGCCCGTTTTCACCCGAACCGAGGAAGGTCTCGTGGCCTGCGTCAACCTGAACGTCGTATTAAAGCCAAACGGCTGCAGTAAAACTGGATTCCTCCGTCCTCTTCTGGTGAGATCAACCTACGAATCTCTTCTTCATGCACTTTCATACGAAATGAAAGTCCCCCCAATAAACTCATAGTTGCCATTAAGATCGACGACGATACTTATGTCCAAAGTTAATACGTTCAGATACTATTATTAAATCGTACATGATTATACTAATTAATATTGATTTACCCCATCGGAAATCATACTATAAATGTAATTTGATAGGTTGACTAAAAACCTTAAAATTATCTAGTAAAAAAAATTAAACTAAGTATGGCACGATTCAATTGGAGAATACACCATATGTAAGTTTCCTCTTTAGAATCCAAGATTAATAATATAATGGTGAGATAGATGATTGAAGAAACGAATTCAATTAAAAAACTTGATTTGGGTCTATTTTTAAGCGGTACACTACTTCAAGTCACCCCCTCTAGTAATCATATTTTGTGCCCGATTTAACCATCGTTTCTGGGAGTTGTAGATCAACCAAATTAAGCGTGTGATTATCCGAGCTGAACTTCACACGGCTTTGCTGTTGAGGTTTAAACTAGCCTGTATTCTTATATTGGTTAACATTTGTCAGATGCTGTATATTAATAATTCGTACACCCACCGACCAAGCTGAACACGCCTCATCCTAAAATATACAGGGAATAATACCGATAGAAAGTAACTGAGTCTCAAAGTCACTGTAGACTTCACAGCAATCATTGCTATTTTTAGCTTTGGCTGCCAACTTTATGTTTATATGCGCACCTATATTGCTCTCCAAAATTAGGCCTAGCAATAATCCTGGATTAATGAAAAGTCTCATAATGTCCTTGGCTTGAGCAGGTCTTAATACAATTATATCTCACGGTATTGATATAGTCATAGCCATGTAGCATCCTACGCATGCTGCCACAGAGAAAACAAGACTGCTTTAAACTAGCTGTCAAGAGTGGCGAGACCCAAAACTGATGGACCTTTTTTCCAAACCCCAAGTTACTAATCAGTATAAAATAAGCAAGACCAAGATGGTGTGATCTTTAATATAGTCATGGTTTCCTTTCGTTGTTTTATCTTGTCTTCGCGACCTGATCACATTGGCAGGAAAACCTAGACTAACGAACCTCGTCCGGAGTCCATAGTATGCATGATAATATCCAGGGTAGGACCGTGGACTTGGTTCATTCCCAAACGTTTCGCCGGCATCATACTAGACATCGTAGTCGACATCGTCAGTGGGTCTTGCCATTCTCAGTACCTTTCATTTCTTTCGCACTCCAACATCAATCTATCGAAGGATTCTTCGAAGCGCAGAATTTCTACATGCCTCTTGAAAATAACACCACGATTAGCAAGGATATGGTGACATCGATCGAGTAAAATCACTGAACCAGGTGTATAAGAGACGGATCTTACGAAGCAAAAGGCAGACTCTGATAGTATCTGGAGGAATTGGATTGCGGGCTAAACGGCAGTCTTGAAACAACACTCCCAGCAAAGTGGGGGGGATGAAGAAACCAACGGGGATTGTGAATAGGTCTTACTGAATCCGGTCAAAAAAGCATACCTCAGCTAGACTTAGATAAGCAAGAAATTGTGATAGTGAAAGGGTGTAACAAGGATATAGGATAGATCAATACACTGGGACAAACGAGGAAATACTACAACTGTTTATCAGACAATTAGTTAAAGGATCGACTTCACTTGTCTCTTTGATGGGTTGCGGTGTGGTGCTGAGAGTGGCAAGGCTCACTAACGATGCCGGTAAAACGTCCGGGGAGGTAACAAGTCCACGGTCAGACTCTGGAAATTAACATGCATACTCAGCACTTCCAGGCAAGACACGTTCCTCTAGATCTTCCTGTCAATATGACCAAGTTGCGAAAACAAGGTCAAAAAACTTGGTATAAAATTAGGCCCAACCAAATATGTAAGCCAATTCATCATTAGTCTTGTAGTCTCCAATCTACTAGAATAGTTTCAAAAATCACGAACATAAGATCTGAAATGAGAAGGTAAGTGACATTAAAGCCTGTCACAAAGCCTAAAAAAACGATAACGGATAGATGTGCTTAAGTACAACAAGGAAGGTGGGAGCATGGCTAAATCCAGCGTAAATGAGAGTAGGACAAATGAAGTCCTGGAAATTATTTGAAAAAACCTTAAAGTTAGCCCAGAAGTCCAGTACCGAAGTAAAATTCAAACCCAAATCAAACAAAATTGTGTAATAATAGAGTTTAGCACAGAGGAGTTTGAGATAAATCAACGTTAAGTATAGGATATTAATGTAACTTGTAACTTTATAACATGTTAGTAAAGGCCTAATGATGGCGCCTGTTGATCTTGCATTGAAAGCACTGTCGTAAGGAGCTACAATCGCTCTAACTGCTGATACTGACCTGCTCCACGAAATTTAGATTTAGATTTGGTAAAAGCAATTTAAAATAGTCCTGTTCACCTCTTACGATCACATTTATCTTTTAACATGAGTATATAAGGGATAAAGTCAAAGCTTGATGAAAAAGGTTGAGTGCCAGAAGACAATCCCGGTCCGGTCTGGCCGGGATGAGAATGCCTTTTGGGAAGTAAGTCTAGGAGAAATTCAATGGAAACGTGAGGCTGCTCATAACATTATGGGAAAATTAAACTACAAGTCTTTCATATGATATAAGAGATCTATGAGATCTATGATATCTGTGATATCTATTATTAGTCTCAAAAACTTACTCTTGAAACGAAAAAAATTGACTTAATCTGGGAAAATATGCTTCATAAAAACATACGAGGATCATACACAGTATTTTTTTAAATCTATGAATGGATTACACTGGTCATATCGAGCCAAAATACGATGAATTCCAAACAAAAGAAGTATTCTAACTCTTTTAAAACCTTCCCACAACCATAATAATTTTTTTAATTATAAAAAGCATTTCATCTTCTAAAACGGCTGCAGTGCTGCATCTCCAGTGATATATGATCTACCAAGCCAGTTAACAAATGAATTTAAAAGGTAATCAAACGCAGATAAAACTTGATTACATAACCCACCTCAAAAGCCAACAGATCCTTGCGTTGCTGAAAGATGTTTCCCTTTGAGTTGGCAACCTTGAGCGGATTTAGGCTAAATGACTTTTCACCATCAAGTGGTAGACTCGGAGCAGTTGAGGTAAGTGGCAGAATATTCAGTGAAGCCGGCTTCGCACCGGAGTTCGATTCGGTCGGCCAGAAGGAATGCTGCCGTGCTGACCGACAGCCAGGGCCTAAGGTGTGCCTGCGAGTTGAAGACTGTTGCTGTTGATGTTGATGTTGATGTTGCTGCGGCTGTGGTTGCGTTTGTGGTCCGCCAAGTGAATGGGCTGTCTCTCTCCACGTATGAAAGTCACCTAAAGGGCCCAAAAGCGTCCCGATCGGAGTGGATCCGGTCCCAAGCTCCAAGCCATCTGTATAAACGCGTAATGGCTGAAGGGGTCCTGAACAATCAGACGCCGTGGGAATGTTTGCAGAGGACAGCGGAATGTCGGTGGCCCAAGAACATGAAGAGGTAGTGGGGCTGGTCGATGAAAAGCTGGAAAACTTGGTAGATGCAGTGATTGGAGGGGCAGAGAGTGTAGCATCTTTGATGCTCGTATTTAAGGCTGTGGTAGAAGTGGTTGTGAAGCCAGCTGAATGCCCTAGAGGATCTCCACGTACGATATCGGCAGAAAATGAAGATAAAGATGACTGTCTCCAATTCCCCAGTGCAGGAACAAGTTCATCGGAAACGGCTGGCTTATGGGAACCACCTGAGGAAGTGGAGCAAACACCTATTGAATCATAACCGACTGGTAGGCAGGCTGATTTTCTAGCTAAAATATTATTTAAAGCAAGAAAAGCGAAACGCTTTTTATGTATGGGGAAATAAAACATGAAGTTGAGAGCAAAAATGGTCATATACGAGTAAGAAACAGGAAAACTTGGAATCAGTAATGAAAATAAAGGTAAATGAATAGACGAATAGACCTCTTAAAGCTATTGAATTTCACGTAGCCTTGCTTGCCAATATGTTTCCTCACTGAGAATGTATGACAATATATATCTTTTTAAATTTCATCAATATCACCAACGGTTTGTGCGCGTCACGCTGAACAGTCACAGCTGCGGAATTTTCACGGAGCACAAGTAACCTATAAGGCAAACTAAGTAACACATTGGAATAAGTGATAACGTTGCAGCTTAACTTAGTGTTAATTTAATTCTGATGTTCATTACATAGCAAACGAAAGCTCAGTTCGTCTTCGCCCGAAACGTTGGAGGATGTCTCGTGGATTGCATCAACCTGAACGTCGTATTAGTGCAAATGCCTACAATACAACGTGAGTTGGTCGACGTCTTCTGGTGAGATTGGCCTACGAAATTCTTCATCATGTACTTCCACATGAAACGGAAGTCTTCACATAAATGGCATTTTCATAGTGAATATGATTTTAGAAATAACTGGCTTGCTTCGAAAGTCACATTTGCTCTGTGACCAAGTGACATCCATGACCGTGAGCCGACTTAGAAACCCGGCTAGAATAATAATGAAATATCTTTCTTGTCTTAGTGTTTTTGTAAATTATCGTTAAGCATGATGTCCGTCACACGACGGACGAAAGTTCAGCAAGGATTCGTCAGTGCGCCGATAATCTATTCGCACAATTCTATAGTCACAGTTCCAAGACAGCCCCAAAACAGTTTCTGGTGAGGCCAACTTTCGAATCCCCTCCACCCTTTTCTTCAGACGAAATGAAAGGTACTTACAACATCAATCTATTAAGGAGCTCTTCGAAACCCAATTCTTCTGCATACTGTAAAGTAAATTTCCATGAATTTCTGGAAATACCCAATGCCATACAAAGTCTGGTAAAATGAATTTGAGCGGACTGTATTGTTTCCTTCCCGTTTATTCTTTTACCCGGTGGTCGTTAGCTAAATTAGCTTAAAAGAACACTAAGGCTGACTTGTGTTTTAGCTGGGATAAAAGACTCCAAAAAAATGGAAAAGGCCAACTTCAGCGCCATTACCATAAATGCCAAATCCCGGACCCAAGTTAACACCAATGAGGAAGATTAAAAAAGATTATTACCCATGCTGTATCGATAGCGCGTTGGCGAACTGGAATCTGGATTTGATGTGACCGATGTAGCTGCCGTTGAAAGAGACGTACTACGACCGATTCGTTTGACAAAAGGGGAAGGAACAAATGGGTCGGATATCGGCTTGCCTGGGCCAATATAAGTGGCTATGGGATCACATTGGGTAGAGGCTACGCTGCCGAGCAGAGAGCCCCCTTCACTGAGGCTAATTTGGAGCGAGGTTAGTCTCGTCGTCGGACTGCTGAATTTGTCGGAGTGAAGCTGCTGTTGGCGCTGTTGATGTCGCCACGCCGATGACGGAAATACCTGCGGTTGCACGCTAATCAGCTGGTTCGTGGAGGCAGAAGAAGACCAGGCTGAGGCCAGAGACCCAGCGCTCACGAAACCACTGCTAGCGCCACTTGAAAGCCCACCGAGGCCTGACAACGCTGTTGTCGGCCCCGTGGTTGGCCAGAAAAGATCGCGGTTGGAGGTTTCCGGACATACATTGACATGCCCCGGCAAATGAACAGCGTGATGGTTATATAAAGTCAAGCTTCAGAAGAAAAGAAATCAGGTGAAGAACAAAAAGGAATTAAGAAAATTTTCAAGAAATTTCTAGCTAAATAGTTTACAATATCTTGTGTATAATCGCGTAACTGTTTGGCTTTCGATAAACATATATATGCCACTATGGTGGCATCGTGAATTTATGACTGCGCGTGTCTTTTAATCAATTTCATGAAGCTATGTCAGTCAAACGAATTCATTACGGTCGGATGAGATGAGTCAGGCCCAAAAACCTCAAATGTGAATAGAAGAATTAAGTGAAAATAAAAAATAAAATATTTCCCTAATAAAAGTCTACACTCAGTCATTTTACAAAGGCCATACAATAAGCTAGCCCAAATCGATTCTAAACAATTAAGATTTCTTTGTAGTAATAGTAGTCTCGTTCTCTTATTATGTTTACATGGTTAATAAAAGTATAAAATATTTCTTTTAGGTCCACCCTAAAACAAAATCTTGACTATCATTGTGGTCCAAAAAACTCGTCTTTTTTGCGAGCAAGGCTGTTTTCCCTTTTCCTCCTTCCCTCGTTTCAATCAGGAGTCATAATTGCCTTCACAACTTTAACCGTGGTCTGAACCACACATGGACCCAGAGTTTCGGTCTTATCAATTGATTGTCCTGTCCAAGAACAATTTCGGTATGATCTTAGCTGCTGTGAATTTCCTTCCATGAATTATTCGAGCCGAAAAAGGTAGAATAAGTATCATGGTCTATAATAGAGTAAGCTTAACTCCAACAGTGAAAGCAGGCGAATAGCAAACTAAAGGCTAGGGGTATAACAACTTAGTATAGACAGGAATAATAAAGGACTAATATAATTATGTATTAGATGTATCCATCCTAGTTAGTTAAAGTGATAAAGGACTGATAACTGAGTTTTCACATAATTATATAAATAGGCCTTACGCTTCCATTGAATTTCGCATAGCCTTGCCTTCCCAAAAGATATTATAATCCAGGATAGACTGCAGTTTCGACCTCGCCCGTCTCATCAGCACCCCTCGTAGGATTCAAACCGTGGCTTATGGCAATTTAGAAAGTCCTTTAACCCAAATTTGCAAACGAAATCAATTGTCCAATGATATGAGATCTTTAATGGATTCTTCAAAACATAGCCTCGTGTCATGTATACTATTTCTACTATTTACTGAAACTGCATAAAGGTAATTAATATCGTAATTAAATGGCTTTCGATTTTGCTTGCCGGTCAAACTATATGCAGTAACAGGAGCATGAGGATCCTGGTGACTACGAATACTAAGGACAGTTACGCCCTTCAAACTTAAGCGTTGTAAGTGAACATCCTCAACATTCCCTAACTGATCCTTCCCATAGATAACAATAACTTGATTGTCCATACTTTGGTTCATGAAATGAATGGAATAGTTGATCGCAATAAACTCGTTTGCGAAATTAGTTTCAGCACAGGGCCAAAGAGAGCCTCTAAGACGAGCTAATTATAAAACAAGGCTGTAATTTTCATAGTTTCATTAATTAAGCTAATGACGCTGAAGTTGAAACTAGCGCCCTCATGCAGTAGTGTCGTGTATGATAATAGCTATGCGAATGGTGCTCATTATTGACAAATGACAGTAGGAACAAGTGGATGAATCTAACTGCCTTGGAGAGTAGTGTGATTTAGTACACAGGTGTAGAGTTAAGGCATTTACCATAAAAAAATCGTTTCATTGTGTACAGATTCTCGAGTAAATATCGGGATTCTAATTAAGGGCACATCTCAAGACTCATTCAGTATAAAAAGTATAGAAAACCCAAAATAAACAGACGGCTATTGAAGCATTTTTAGGGAAAATCAAACAGTTTGGCGATAAAACTACTCTAGCTTTAACAATCTAAATGAGGTGAATAGATGCAATTTTATGTATAAATATATATACATACATACACACATACACACATACTCACACATACTCACATATACATACATATACACGAGATGACTGGATAAATTTAAGTAGTATGAACCTTAATAATGGATTTTATACAGTCCAATTTGAAGTGATGCCGATTCGAAAGTTGATCTACAGCAATCGATCTACGGTATCTTGATGAATCAAAATAAACTACTTCGATGTACTCCTTGGCCAAAAAGTGCAGACTTTCTGAGGAAACCAGGTCAAGGTTATATCCATATAGGCTTCCAAACCAGGTTTGGCAAAAAGAACATTTGTTAAGCCTATAGTTAACTCATTCACTCCACGAAGTATAAAGTGCATTTATATACACAATTCACTCGAGTTCAATTATTGAAATAAACTGATAAAAAGTAGGCGTGGGATTTTGACATCGGGAACAGATAGCACAGCAAGACTGTGTTAGCCAAAAATGATGCATGCATAAAGTCAAGTGGGTTGTTTTAACTTTCCTTAAGGGAAATATTTAAAATACCCAGCATTGTCTAAAAGTAGTGAGAAAAGAGTAAACACAATGAACATCGGAGATTCTCTAAAAGCAAAGCATTGATGACAAACATCAGTTTGGGAGAGCTCGTGAAATTCACAATAATAGATGTAGCAACCAAACAGACATCGCTCATCAGGGAAATATACCAAGTATAATTAGAAACTATCATTTCTTATTAGAGGGACCTTCATTTCGTATGAAAGTGAATTTCTTATCCATTATGATCGAGTTCGGTTAAGGTTGTCTCATTATCGTTAAGCCTTGAGAATAGCCTATAGATATTATTAAAAGCTCACACTTATCCACATATGTTTACATAAATAAACTCATGTATTCATACTTACACACAAACATAAATGTGGGAGCACGCATATACTTAGGCCCAGACAAAAACATGTATGCATGTGTACGCCTGTGCATGTATGCATCAAAGGTGTTTTCAAGGGGTGGAGAAGGGCTTGACAGGAGTGACTTTGTCCTAGCCGAAGCTCGTCAACAAGGGAGATGTAATTAACATATACTACAAAATATTAAAGTTCTATTCTAGTATGTAAACTAAAGCTAGCTGGACTGGTGATGACAATAAAGCTAAAACCAAGAAGAGTTTGATTAAATCAGGATGATCCTCTAACCAGTGGTATGCATGGCCTAATCCTGGATAATGGCAATATGGTTCGTGATATAGTTAGGCACGTGCGCAACCCCTTTGAAAGAGTCAAAAATAGGCCTAATGGCTAGTTTGTCTCTAATCAACAAAATGTCTTTATTCGAGTCTTGATTGCTACTACCCGTTAGAATGAAGTTAAATCCAAGCAAGATTGGCGCCTCATACAGTAGGGAAAATTCACCCGAAATCTCCTTTATTTCGTGGCTTATTGAAGTTGAAAATAGATGAGAAACATAAAAATATAAAATAAAAAATTCGATAATCTATAATCTATAAGTAACTCAATAATCTCTAGAATTACGGTCAAATATTATAAGACCAGCCCTATTCCCATTTAACCGCAATAAAGCATTAATATTTACTTGTAAAGCTGTTCTCAACCTCCATTTTCCATCTGACTCTAAGATGCAGTGGTCAAGCCATAAATTCAAAAGTAAACTCATCAAATTCATGAAAACCACTTAAATTTCGTTAAAATAGAGGTTTTGATAGAAAGTCTGTTCAAAGAATTACTCGCATGGAAGAAGTATAGCATGAATGCAAAGTTGATATTAATATATAAGTAATCATAATGTGATTACGATGGAGAGGATGGCAACGGTAACCATGTCAGTAATTTCGTGTAATTTAGAGGCAAAACATAAACTCATATAAAAGTCGTATTCTCTCTATTTCGTTAAAGGTGCTGAATGACTAGTAGTTGAATTTTCAATTCAACTAAAACATAAGGTCCATCCATATAGGTGTGAAAAAGTTAATTACTATTCTTTTATCATCTTAAATTAAATATGGTGAATACAGCTCTTAAATAACATTTGCAGGTAATCTCGAAAAATAAGTAACGTAGTCGATTGCTATAGCAAATACTACCGCCTCGCCGACTATCCCACCACAGAATGCGATATGGGAAATTCAATATGCCCTGTGACTTAAGGTCACTCATGACAGTGGCACAGTGGTTAAATTTTCCAGAGTATACGCTGCACTAACAGAGTTTAAATCTCACTAGAGGTGATGATGAGACTTAGGCGAGATCGAAAATACAATCAACCCTGGAAAAATTAATCCTTTGAGAGGCAATGCTAAGTTAAATTCAATGGTATAGTTAGACCTACTCATATCACTATGGAAAAATTTAACTACATCACCTTAAATGGAATAGGATGAATATAGGTCTCATATCAGATCTAATGGTAGTCTCGAAAGTCTACTTATAAGGATAATTTATAGTAGCTTAGATAGAGCAATAGCTCTGCATACATCATTA